GATAGATTTGATCTAGCGGACTACCGAGAGTCTACCCCTCATTTGACCCAGTGATTTGACCCACATATTTTTTAGGACATCTGGGTAATCTGAGGGGAAAGTTCCCACGCCTTCTCCCCTCCCCGAATTTTTCCGAAACAATTACTATCATTGTATGATCTCTCCCGCCCACCCCCCAAATATTTCCAAAAATTGCGTCTTTCAGGGTGGATCGAGTTTCAACATTCCCTATCGATCTTTCTGATAGTAACTCCAGCAGTTAGATTCCCCTACCGAAGTAGGCGAGCCCTGCGCGCATGGCGACGCGATGACGCTGTATTTGCCGCCGTCGGCCTTTAATCCGTCGCGACGCCCCCAAGCCTGAGGGCCCCGTTTCCCTCATCAACTCTTCTCAAATTCCTCCTTTAAATCTACAGAAAAGAAAAAATAAACCAAAAGCCCCGAAAGATAATTAAGAAACTATCCGCGAGGTGAGAGCAATTGTTGAATAACAAATAGCATAGGACTGAATAATTTAATTGCAATTTGATAAACGACCGATTGGAGGACAGTATTTTGCGCGATGAAAAATTGTTTTTGTACTTCAGTGATTAGTGAGGATTCACTGGGAGTGGGTCAATTATTATGTGAGTGGTCGAGTCGAGGTACTTTGTGGGTCAAATAATTTTCTTGGTGACCTCGACGTACCTCTGGCTAATGATTTTTTTAGTGCTGTGCCACACCCTCCGGTACTAATTAATTGAGCGCTAAGGTTGTCCTTTTATTTTTAGACGTTTTATTCGGAGGATGACGTGGGGGGGTGGGCAAGGGGTGGTTGGGTGGATAGGTGGTACTTGATGATGTGGGTGAGGTTACAGGTGGTGGTGAAAACAGCTGTGGGTGAGAGCAACGTCGCACGGGAATTTTTTGCACGCAGGTTTAGCGCGCAGATGGTGGGTTTCGTAGGGGTGTCCAGAGGGGGGAAGGGGGATGGTGGATTTAAAAATACATGGGGGAGGTATTCAAGGGTGAATTGCGTATCAGGGGATGACACTCATTAATCGGGATCGTCGCGGTGGTGAAGTTGTGGGACTGATTAAGTTATTTCGGTGATTTGTGAGAATCAGGTGCGACGAAGAATTTTAATATTCACAATTGACCCTCATGTGCAGATTCATGACGAATATTACTGTTTGGGCCTGACTCATGCTTGGTATTAGGCGGCTACCACCATGACTCATGTTCTCAGACCGATTCTTCTACTTGACTCAACTTGACAACTCGATATCTATTTGACCCACAAATAAATCCTCCATCACGTACATCCAACCCCATGTCACTAAAACCATGAACAAATTGATGATAAATTTTTTTATAATTATCCTACCCTCATCACAGTGCCATCAGTAAAGTTTATCAGTCTAATGAGGGTGATAAAGCACAAATATTTGTGTTGAAAGCTCGTGTATTCGCGGCTTATCATCTCGCGACGTGCATCCACATTACGCACACTGAAAAAAAAAAAAGAGAGGGTAATAGAACGTTATCAGGTCACAGCTATGTACCACACTCTCATCTGTAGTTTCAAACGTCGATAACACCTATGCACGCCGTTCCACTGACGTAACTAGTGATACAACACTATCATTACGATCCACAAATACCCCTCATCGAATAATTCACGGGAGAAGATAATTCTCAGCAAGTCAAATACTCCAATATATTTCCCAGTGAAAAAGCGAATGAAATCCTTTTCTCGGTTTTTTTTCAAATCATTTCTAAATATATTGGTGTGGATCAAACTGGTGGGTCAAACTGGTAGGTCAAACTGGTAGGTCAAACTGGTGGGTCTAATGGTCCAGAGGTGTCCTTTTGTTAATGGGAGTGCCACTGGAGGGAAATAGTGCTGAATGCTTTTGTCAAGTGGTCGAAAACGTCTGGCTGACCCCCGACGTCATTGCCACATACTAAATCCTCTCGCATTATACGAAAACTAAGTCAAGAGCACCACACTCCGCCATTCCTCTCGTTCCTTCTCTGAATCCCCAATGAAGGCACTAATTAACGTACTAATGCAACTCCACGCTAATGCAATTCACTCTCAAATTTTTTTTCCATTTACTTTGGAGAAGCTAGAGTAAAGTCATTTGTCACTTATTTTTTGAGGGTAAAAAAATGGGTTTAATTGGAGGGTCAGCGCGGATTAATTTCCCACTTCTTGGATTAATTTTCGAGTTATTTTGAGTCTCTATTGACTTAATCCCCGGGGAGGTTGACCCACAGAATTTATTTCAATGAGGGTCAAATGTGAGGGTCATGGGTCAAAGTCATCTTAACATGTTCTCAAAAATGAAAATCATCAGGAATTTATAAGGATGACGAATTAATTAGTATTATCAATTTCTTTGATTACAGAGAAGTGCGTACGGTATTATTGAATAAGGGAACATCGGGTCTTGGATTTAATATAGTTGGGGGTGAGGATGGCGAGGGTATTTTTATCTCGTTCATCCTAGCCGGTGGACCAGCTGATCTCAGTGGTGAACTGAGAAGGGGCGATCAGATACTCAGCGTCAATGGAATTAATCTCAGGACTGCGACCCATGAGGAGGCTGCGGCCGCACTCAAGGTGATCAATTTAAAAAAATAATTGAAGTACACTTGAATGATTGAACGTAATTATCAGCAACGAAATTATTTTCTGTTTCCTAGGGAACCGGACAAACGGTCACAATAGTTGTTCAATACAAACCGGAGGACTACAACAGATTCGAAGCAAAGATCCATGATCTCAAACAACAAATATCCCAGCAGAATATGACAACAGGCACCCTCATGAGGACCTCACAAAAAAAATCTCTTTACGTTAGGTGAGTGCTGAGAAAAAAAAAAGAGACATGCCAAATTTATTCTGTCATCTATTAATTTTATTCGGCTCTCGATGCCAATCGTTTTGTCATTGAATAATCATATCGAATAAAAATATCGATTTCTCAGGGCTCTATTTGATTACGATCCGAACAAGGACGACGGTCTGCCAAGTCGTGGACTAGCTTTTCGTTATGGTGAAATTCTCCATGTGACGAATGCCAGTGATGACGAGTGGTGGCAGGCAAGAAGAGTCACCCCACAGGGGGATGAAGAGGGATTGGGGATCATCCCCTCCCGCAGGAGATGGGAGAGAAAGCAAAGGGCTAGGGATCGCTCTGTCAAGTTTCAGGGACACATGCCAGTTATATTGGATAAGGTATTGTCAAATATTTTCATTATCTCGTATCATTTTTCAAAGTTAAAATTTAACAGGGAATTTATATTTTTATTGGATATCCTATCGTCTGGAAATTATTATGGTGATTATTGTTTCACAGCAATCAACACTCGACAGGAAGAAGAAGAATTTCTCGTTCAGCAGAAAATTCCCATTCATGAAAAGCAAAGACGACAAATCTGAGGATGGCTCTGACCAAGAACGTGAGTACTCTATTATTTAAATAATCCCAACAATTGTGCACGTACTTGCACGCTCGGTTAATCCATGTATAATTGTTTACTGTTACACGATGTATCTGCAACGTTTTATCGTCACCCCCTGGTTAAATCCGAATTTGAAGGAGAAAAGAAAATTGAATTTGTCGATTTTCGAAAAATTCCTTCTCATTAATCCAGGGATTAATGACCCCAGGATTGCCCTTGCCACGGAGAATTCAGTCTGTTGGGACCTGGCCATTACTCATTAATCATCTCATTATTTCATTTATTTTTGTAAAAAAATTTTTAATTCATGCGTTCATTTCAGTAGTGAAGTGGTAAATCGATTGTTTCGGGGATTGAGATGTAGCGGGCGAAGGAGTGGTTTTAGAAAAAATTTTCATAAGACTTTTTCTGAAGAGAATTTTGTGAACCATAAAAAAGGGCCAGTGGTATTTTCTCGTAGAATCAAAATTTATTGAGATAATTTGGAAAATTATGAACTGTCGTTGTATACCACTTTGCTAATTTCATAATTATCATAATTAACGTCCTCCCATCCCGAATGTGCTTCAAATTATTTTTTTTTTTACCTGTGATACGTGAAAATGTGTTTTTGTTTTTGCCTGCTTGTGTAGGGTCGCCCACCACACCCGAGAATGAAAACGATCCTACTCGTAAGTATTTTACCTTAAGAACAATTAGTTTTCCATCCGTAATAATCACAATTACCAGTCCAGCTTCTGCTCATACGCATAATCAATACCTTCTCCATCTCCCTCGTATATTGAAGTTACTACAATTTTTGTACATATGTATAAACTATTTAATCATTAATTTATCATTAATTCAGGTGAACCAAATGATTTTCATTTGAATGTCCCCATAATATCGTCATTATCTCACCAACAGTTGTGTTTGCGAAAAAAATTTACTAGAAACTTTTCGTGGAAAATCGAATTTCCCACAAAAAACTTCCTACACACTTTTTTCTAAAACCAATTCCTGATGAGATATGAGCGCAATTAAAACGTTTTCGTTTTGGAATAATTGAAAAATTTATTACAATTTGAGTTAATGAATTTATTAATTCCACAAATCGTCATTGCATCCCTAGGGAGATCATTTCGTCGAATGCGATAATAATCAAGTGCTAGATTTAGAAATAATCGTATTAAACATTTAGCTCACCGTGAAGTACCGTTTATTACTCATTACTTAACTGGGAAATTACTGTTCTAGCATTCATGCTGTGCTACACCCAGGACGACACAAACACTGAAGGTAATAATTGTCTTGTTGCATTCATTTCCCCGCAGAGTTTATTCACCCGAACATTTAGAAAAATATGAGATTGTTTCTCTAATTGTTTAAACGCCATTCATTCTATTTTCATTATCTTCATTATCATCCAAAGCACTCACTCACTCACTCAACGTTCAATTATCCATTATGTCACGGAGAAAATGATTTTTTCCGGGAAAAGCCGGGGGAGGTATTTACGGGAAAATCTCACACGATTTTTTATAATCGAATAGAATAATTTATCAATTTTCAATCATGAGAGTTTGAATTCAATTTCAATTGAAAAATTAACATTTTCAATGAATTGAAACTTTTCCCGTAAATTTCTTCTCATGTTACTCCCAGAATAATTCAGTGTTTTTTTATATATTTTTTTTTCTCTCATTGTTATTTATTATTGTATAATGCAGGAAGTAAAGAAATTTTATATCGCGTTGAACTGCCCTATATGGAAGAACTGACGTTAGTTTATCTGGAAAAGGAGGGCGATGAGAATGTTGAAGAGCTTAGTAAGTCAGTGTGAATAAAATGAGAGAATTATAGAACTGAGTGGACCCTATGAACTAATGAGTTTTGAGAGTATTTTAAATCACGAATGGAAATTTAAGCAGATCGCGACGAGACGCCTAGTGCAAATGGGACAGACGTGGCGTGCATGACTCGTGCAAATTTTTTTTTTCTCTTCTGCTTCCGAATGGACATTTGTGTAAATAGAAATCAATGATGTGTGATTTTTGTTGTTTTACTGGGATTTTTTTTTTAATCTGTCGAACTTCATGATTTTTTTTCATAAGCGGTTGAAGATGAGAATCCATTCGGAGGCAAAGTGTTAATTAATTGACAGCAATAACTGTAAACATTAATTAAAAAATCGACGTGTGCTAAAAATTCAGAAGTTCTCAGACTTTGATTTTCATAATTTTTATGGTTTTATCCCGTAATTTTTTTAATGAAGAGCTTTATATCTGTGGGTCTTCCCAGTGAGGAACCTGAGGAATCACTCGACCCTGCTAACCCCCGATTTATTTTTAATTACTCTCACTAAATCAGGATTGGCAAAATGAATCATAATTGGTAAAATGAAATAAGTCGAATTTCGCAGTTTCATAAAACTCCATTACTCGAAAACCATCGATTTTCGGAAAAAATACCAAAAGACATTTTTCGTCGGAAATTTAATCAGCTACAAAAAATTCCCCTACGGTTTTCACCCTGAGTATATAGTTCTCGAGATAAATGGATAACTAATCCACTTATTACTTATTTCACTTTCTAATTTCGCTAATTAAATTAAATTACTAATTTATGACATGCAGCTGATTTTCGATTTATATTTGAAATTTTAGGCAGTGAGGAGAATGTCCTGTCTTATGAGCCTGTCCAGCAGTTGACTATCCAGTACACGCGTCCAGTTATTATTCTGGGTCCATTGAAAGATCGTATCAATGACGATTTGATCTCGGAATTTCCCGACAAATTTGGCAGCTGTGTACCACGTGAGCATTTAATTATCAAGCAATTAACCCTCCAACCCCTCGAGTTATCACAACAACTAGAGATTAATCAATTCGATAACAATAATTCAGTCAGTAAAATGAAGAAATTAATCAAAACGAGAGACAAAGATTTCAATTAATTCTCGTTGAATAGAATTTAAATTAATCGGTTTCCTTTTATTCCATATTACATAAATAAGAAGCATTTCGAGATGCAATGAGAATTATTTAATAAGCGGGAGAACCCCCATATCCAGGGGAATTAACCAATTAGTCTAATTAATCACGTTTCATTTGTTACTGAAGATACAACGAGAAGTAAAAGAGAATACGAAGTCGATGGTCGTGATTACCACTTCGTAGCATCGAGAGAACAAATGGAACGAGACATTCAGAATCACTTGTTCATTGAGGCTGGACAATACAATGACAATCTGTACGGTACATCCGTTGCTTCAGTGCGAGAAGTTTCTGAAAAGGTGAGTCTCACATAATAAATAAACTAGGGATCTCAGTATTTCTCGTTTTTTTTTTTCAATTGATTATTGTTTTATGATGTTACTTAGGGTAAACACTGTATCCTGGATGTGAGTGGCAATGCAATAAAAAGGTTACAAGTTGCCCAGTTGTATCCAGTCGCAATTTTCATAAAACCGAAGTCTGTGGAATCCGTGATGTAAGTTTGAAATGACTTTTCTAATAACAGACATTTACTCAATTATCCTTGAATATTAAAATGATAATGTTTTTTATGACGGAATTATACCGACAGGGAGATGAATAAGAGGATGACTGAGGAGCAGGCCAAGAAGACGTACGAACGTGCCCTGAAAATGGAACAGGAGTTTGGAGAATATTTCACCGGTGAGTTGGGAAGTGAGAAATAAATTCTTGAATGTTCGAATATTCGAGGACGATAAATCAATCTTGCCTCCACATATTTTTCGTTTTTCTTTCGACACGATTTTGACTTGATTGGAAAGCTCAAATGATTGTTTAAAAATTTTTTGATTGGAGTAATAATAGAGATTAATGAGGAGAAAATTATGGAATTTTATGGAGGTCTTGAGAAAATGTTGAAAAATAAAATGGCAAACTTAAATTGCAACGAAATTGTGAATTTACAGCTGTCGTTCAAGGCGATACCCCAGAGGATATCTACCTAAAAGTTAAGGATGTCATCAACGAGCAGTCTGGACCCACCATCTGGGTACCATCTCGTGATCAGCAACTGTGACGTCCTGCCCCCCATGGCCAGCCCTGTCCGAATCCCTGGACACTACCCCCACGGCGTAACGAGTAAATTCCCAGCAGGATTTCCCAACTGAATGGGAAAATGAAAATATTCAAGAAATACTTCGAACTTTTGAACTTCTGCGCCATCCTCAAACGCCCCTACCCTTTCCCTATGGTAATTACTACCTAAATTAGCACAATTTTTGATAGAGGCTCGTCTGTGCGATATTTCTTGTTGCCTCAAGGAAATTGATGAATAGAAAATCTCAACAGAATTTTAAATAATGACAAATGACACGTTACGGTAATTTTACCCTCGATATTGTCGTGTTTATTTGAGAAGATTATATTGGATAATTGGATTATAATGAGAAGATATACGTGAGATATTTTAAGATGATTTTTTATCATTTGTTTTAATGATTTGAGAGACGGAGGGAGATATGAGAGAGTCTGAAGTTCTACCGGATTCTTTTGAGGATAAAACAGGAGAGAAGTAGTCGGTTTATGAAAAAATATTATGGAACTTTATTGTAGGGAATTTCGAAACCTTCAAAAAATGTTTAGGGACATTTTTTCGTAGGACCAGCGGATTTTGAGATATCCTTAATAATCCGAGTGAAATTTCAATTTTTTTCCTCTTCACTCTCTCATCGAAAATTCTATTCAAGAATTTTTTAAACAATTTGAATTATTGGACAGCAACAGAAAAATGTATTTTTTAATGTACTTAAACGATTGAGTTAACTTATCCTTGTTAGTGATCGAATTGTCCTTAATTACATTATTAAATGAATGATTAAGTAATTGAATGAAATAATTTTTATTTCAATCGAGAAAAAAAAAGAGAATGAACTAATGAATGAATAAACGTGAATATATAAAATTCGAGAAGTGACATTAATTGTTGATTACATACCTAATGAGTTAATTGATGACGAGAGAATGATAGGTGAAAATATTGATGATTGAGGGTGTTCAATTACATGACGTAATCTTAAAAGAAAATGATTTTGGATTTTTTTTGCAAAGGAAAAAATGTCAAATACGCAATTACCTAATCCGGTAATTAATTAATTAGTTACGTTATTGACCGACATAATTACACGTTAATTGAATTAATAATCATCTAGTTATTGAATATTTTATATGACACGAGTTCCAAGAATTGAGATTATACCAAACGCCTGGAAAATTGAATAAACAATCAACTAATTACTTAATTACCCGACCAATCCAATTAGTCCTTAATTAAGCAAATCGCGAATTAATTTGCATAATTCATCGATCTTTGGTTGATTAAATTAACGAGCCATAAATCCATCAGTTTTTAAAATTATGAAACAAAAAAATTTCGAAAGCAATTTCATTGTGAGCACTTGCACAATTACTCAGGCAATGAACGAATTATGGATTCGATTAGTTGATTAATTGATATGATCAACTAATTGAATTAATTGATGCGTAATTTTTTATGGAATAAATCCAAAATGTTGAATTTTTGAAGGGAATTTCATTCTGAGCACTTGGACATCCTCAACGCAATGTGAAAATTCTCGTAAATCGCGCAACCTCACGATCCTATCTGACCTCACAGGACAAATCGTTAGTTATTTAGGATAGCGAAGTATATAATGTTTTGTACAGATAGATGACTAAGCCAGTAACTGGGTTATGTGCAACATTATATTGAGGAGAGATGATTGGTGAGACTCCCCTGGAGATACTATTGTAATTTAAATACCACGAATAATTTATTATTAATTAGTAGGTATGTATTATTGTAAATACCTATGCCTGTAACGGAGTGAAAACAGATATCGGAGAAGAGTATTGTTTGGATTGAATGAGGCAGTATTTCCATTATTAAAATATGTGGCAAAAGGTGGAGGAGATGAACAATTGGTTTAATTTTTTTTTTATTTTTGGGGGAGAGGAAGGATGTCAAGAGAGTTTTTTTGGATGTTAATTACCATTTCGGGGTGATTAAACAAAAGAGAAAAAATTTCTCGTTATAAACAATTCCAAAAATATTATTATTCGATATTCCAAATTTTCCAATTGAATCTAGATAATTATTTAAGGAAAAGCTATGAATATCTCCAAAATTTTCGCTTTTATAAAATTCACGATTTAAAGAATGTCACAAGAGAGTTGAAGTCAGATAAAAGCATCTCTCCACCTACCGTTCACCCCCAAAAATCAAAATGAACCCCTGAGGGTATGAAAGTCCCAAAATGACGTTTTTTGGGCCCTGGAGACTCCTCCCTTTGCCTCCACTAGAAGAGACCGATGATCCCAAAATGATAAAAGGAATCATCCCAAGCAAAACCGAGAAATCGTTCTACAAGATTTCACCCTCGACCAGTACTTACACCCCCAGAGACCCCAGACCTCCAGGAGTCCAACAGCTGAGGTGACGACAACTATTCAAACAAGATAAAGCATAACAAAAAAAAAGAATGATATTATGACGATTGTTTATCGATTTAATTGTAATATACACCAGAATGGCGAATAATTAATTAGAAACATTTAGTTGGATTTCCTTGATTTCTCTTATGATCCATTGACCATTTCACCATTTTGACCATTTTCCATTAATCAAAGACCGAGAATTTATTTACCCGGAAAATTTTTATGAATGAATAAAAAGAGAAATAGTTCGTAAGAAAGTGAAAATTCAGTGGTGGAGTGAGAAAAGATGAATTAAATGTGGAATATCCTTTCACTGCTGAATCAAGAGAAATTGTAATATTTTTGTTCTCGTATAAATTAAGTTCAAACGAGTCCACTGCACTCTTGATTCACCGATCGATCGTAAAAAAGTGAATATGAGGCAGAACCACGAGTTATTCCCCGAATAATCGATAAGACAGATAAAAAAAGCTCCTGTAATCCCAGATATTTGGTTGTGCCTGAATAATTAGAGAAGGACTCGAGGCATCTCAGTGTAAAGTTTAAGAGAAAAAAAAAAAACATATAAGTGAATATAAAAAATGAATAGATATTACGAACACCTATTATACATCTCTATAGTCTATTTAATAATATTAATTATTGAATTATCAATCTCATGTTCACCTTGTTTCATCGTTTTCAAATAGTTAATAAACGTTTTACCAATTTTAAAAATTTTTCGTCGTCAGTTGTAATCTCAAGCTGCAGCACTGGAGGAATGAATAAACAACAACTCATAAATCCTCATGATTTTATTCGAATAGACAGTAGAGTGAAAACGATAATTGCTTTGAATTCCATATAATCCATTTTTACAAATCACAGAGTGCCAACTCCACCTTCATCAAAAAACAAAAAATCATGCCAAAATTTAGATCGAGAGCCCCGGTGAGGCCAAACAGCTCTCCCTAGAAAATTCAAAACAAATTGAACTTAAATATATAATATATATTTTCACTCTTTACATTATCCCACGTAAATCACCTCCATGAAGCATTAGCCATTAACACATTTAAAAGTTCCTTCAACTAACGTCACCCTCTCCAACTCCTAAATACAAATATTTCAAGGAGAGAAAGAAATTTACATCGACTCTTCCACTCCCTCAACTACCAATATCGTACATTAAAAAAGCGAATTAATGTTATAGCACAGTAAATTTCATTTATACAAGAGTGACTCCCATTGTTCTCGAGAAAAAAAAAATTACATTTAACTACATTAAATTACACGTTTAATCATCGATTCTACGTACACTTTAATTATCTCCATCTTAAAAATACACAAGCATTTTCAATTTCTGCTGTTCTTACATCGAATCTTAATTAATTCTACTCACGTACACTAATTTGTTAATTATCGAGTTGGAACGTATCTCAAAGTTCATGATTCATCTATTTTTGTTCTTATTTTCATTTTTTTAAATTGTTTGTAAAATAATTATATACACTTTTGTCAGAATTATCCGTCGGATAATCAATTTTCTCGTTTCATTCGGCATTTTTTTTTCTTCGTCCTTAATTCGTTAATTTATTCGGTTGTTTTTATACATCTGCAGGAAGTTACAACTATTCTACACATGTACATGTTACATACATCATTAAATCGATCATCAAATGTTTTTTTTTTCAACTGATTAATTATTCGGTTGTTTATTACTTCGTTTAAACATAGATTTACTTCCCTGAGACTGATTATATCGATTGAATTATTTAGTTATCAGGACGATAGCCTAGGATACAATCAACTAAACATTCAGATGAGTTTAATTACAGGAGTTTCTTAATTAATTAATATACGCAGGATTTCTTATAGATTGTTCTTGTAAATCAGAAGGAGAGATTGAGTTCTCAACATGATTGTTGAATTTTTTACCTTTGAGATCTCCAGTTGTTTTTCGGAGAAAATTAAGTGATTGATTTGTTATAATTTTTGACGAACTCCATTTGTCGGTCACTGGAATTACTATTGAATTTTCCGCAAAGATACAGAAAGACGTAAGTACGTAATTTCAATAAAAAAAAAATGTTCTTGGATTTTCACGCCATCCCTAAATCACGATAAATAACTTGAAATCATCAGTCCAATTAATTATTGCACAACGATGATTTCTCAACAGAGGAATTTTGATCGATAACATTTTCACTCCCAAGAGTATTTTCCACTGATATAAAATAAAATCCTCCAATTTTCTCAACTTACGAAGTGCACCATAAAAATCGGTCCCTCTCATTTTCCCAATACCTCGAGAGATAGATAACCCAGAGGGCTGATTCACCTCTCATTCGATAGCCAGGGAAATTTCCTATTTTAAACCCTATAAATAAATCCATTGGGTTCCGCCCCCTCACCCGCAACCGTCGAAAACCGTTTCGCGATCGATAACATCAATATCGATTATCTTAATAACAGCTGGGGCAGAATGGATAAATTGAAGAGTTTGTGATTGAAAATTTCCGCTGCTCTCTGATAAGAATGTAATCATCCCCGCCCCCCTCCCTCTATCTTTTATCCGCAAAATCGCCTAATGATGAAAATCATAGAATAGAAAAACCATTCAATTGCACTTGCCAACACTTAAAACATCCTATACCACGTAATAAATCAATAACTCAGTATTTACATTACCCATTAAACTCATAATAACCAATTAAATGCTAGACCTAAGCAACTCACGATTCGTAGAAATAAACATAAATAATAATCTTGTGGTAACATTTTCGTTAATAATGATAAAAACAGTTGGCGCACGTGATTTACGTCTCATGTCTGGAATAATCTTTCAGGTGTTTATAAATCGTCGAGATTTGCTTATTTAAAATTCATATCTCACAGCTCTAACTAATTAATTGATTAATTAATTATGAAACAAGAATGATCCTGACGTTTTTTTCGAGAATTCTCAGGGGAAAAAGTATCGAATGGAGTTTTCAAAATTTTATTCTAGATTTCATCACTGAATTAAATTGACAGGCAATCATTCTCGGTAATTAATTGCTCGATTAATTAGTCCAGTAATTCCCATTGTCTATCAACATCTTTACGTAAGCTCCGGCCTCAATAAACACTCAACAAATCAAAGAAACTAATTAATTCGCTAATCATAAACGTTTATGTGAAATTCAATTGAATTTGTAAAAAACGCAAATCCATTTCACGAAGACGTACGCACGTACTATTGTCATAGCGGCAGTTTTTTCATCTATTAAAAGCGTATCATTAAGATTTAAAATTCCTTAATCATCCGCTGTGAGACGGCAGTTTTTATTTAATAAAATATTATCTAGGATTATTACACTTGGATAAGTATTCAACTAATTTAATGTCACAGGTCGCTGCTTAGTTTTTATCATTTCCTCCTTGATAGTTCCGGTTATTGCAATTATTTTGAGTTTCTTTGGAAGAATTACGAGAAACGAGAGAAACAAACACCCGAATTACCCAACATTTTCCCAAAAATCGGTCGAGCCATTTTTCCTAAATCAAATCACAAAAAAAAAATAGAAAAAGTTATGCCGGAAAAACTCGCGGTGAAATTGCACTTATCTCCCCTAGCTCCCCTCAAATTTTCCCCACCACTTGATTTTTCTTCCTCAATCTCTCTCGTTTCATCACCTTCCCGATCTTTCCCTCCCGCTTACCACTAGCCTTAGAATTAACAGACATAGAAGGCGCTGACTGGAGAGTCGTTACCCTATCCCTACTGTTATTCCCCTGATAACCGCAGGTGCTCTCCAGCGGCGCCTCATGTCACCTCAGATTGATAACGACTCTCTCAACATTCAACAGTGACCTGACCTTATCATTGTACTTAATAAGCGTTACCTTTGATGCTCTCACATTAATTCGTTCACCAGCGCTCAACAGGTGGCAGCACCTCGACTGCTCAAGAAAATCATGGAGTTTTAATTCTCTCATAACATCGCGATGAGCCACAACTGGTGGTCCTGACGGTGCTTTTGGATTTATCTGACGTAGAAGAGCATCGCGACTCTTCATTCGCACTGCCGACATTAAATCCTGCAGTAGCACCCATTTGTCGGGATCATTGGCCAGTGTAAATAGCACGGGGAGATTTGTCTCGCTCATTTCAACTTCGAGATCATCGGGCTCAGGGTCTAATATCGGTGAGGGCGCCTCCAACAGAGCGTCGTAACCCGTCTCTTCGTCGTCTGAGAATGACAAAATTGTTCCACGTCAGATGTTTTTCAACATTTCCTCAAGCTCTACTCATTTTATCTTGTACATAAAGTCAGAGGGACACAGATTTTCAAACGACTCGATTATTTTTTTCCTCAGACATTTTGCGCTTTCAATTTCCCTATCAAAACTTTATGCGTGCATTCCAGGGGCAATGACTGATACCGATCTCGACGTATCGGCCAACAGATTTATCACTCACAAAAGCGCCGAAATTGCCACATTACAGTGATACATCAAAGAAAATTGTCCACCCGACGGCCATTTATTCACGAAAAACATCCATCAAAGTAATCTCGCTGTCATCAATTTGACCGAGGCAAATGTGTGGAATTCCCACAAATAAAGAGAAAGTTTGACTCACCGAATATGGAAGAAGGCCCGGAGAAACTCCATGGAGTACTCGAGCGGCCTTGAACGTCGTCCAAATGTTGTTCGATAATTGGATATGCGTCAGTGTCAACTGCCAGCATGAGGGGTGTTTGTCCAGAATAAGTTGCCAGCACCGGATCAGCACCGTACGACAGTAGAAGTCGCACAAGTTCCGTAGCACCATTTTCTGCTGCTTCGTGAAGCGGTCTGTCATAAATATACCATAAATAATTTAATGTTCAATAGTAAAATAGTATTAATTATGATTGCAATGCAATGCTATTCATTCATGATATTCGTAAATAAAAAAATCTTACCTTATTCCACCATTTGCACTCTCGCTAACATTCGCCCCGTACGCCAACAATAGTTTGGCAATTTGTAGGTGCCCCCTGGAGCAAGCCTCATGAAGTGGTGTATATCCCGCATTGTCCTTGGGACTTGGTGGGCTATTCAGCTTCTCCAAGCAGTAAGCAGCCACATCCTGAGAACAAACATCAAAAGCCTATGAAAATCGTTTCAACCCCCGTGATATCCTTTTCCCACTCGTCCAAGAACTACATGTAATTCCACAAGATAATCCACAACTCTCAGGAATACGTTAATTACTGATGTGTAATATCCTCTAACATTGTTATTCCCTTGTATCCCTGAGTTTACAATTTTAATCATAATGTTGTAGACTTGAAAAGTTTTAATTAACTTACGGTGTATCCGAGTCTAGCTGCACGATGGAGAACTGTTTCTCCCACCCCTTTCTTTATAACCCACGTTCTGATTTCCGCTTGAATGTCTGCCACACATTCAGCATTCGGTCTCACCGGGGTTTGCTGTTGGAGAGAATATTCAACATTAGAATCAGTATCATTCGTTGACTGATATCCCGCCTCCTTGCGCTACGTCAATTAAATCCTGCCAAGACTCAATCAACCCTCAAATCAATGAGAATAGTATTAACTGCGTCTCGCAGGGTTTATGATGGCACTTTAAAGAAGTTTCAACTCCCAATTGTCAAATGTAATTGATAATTCCTTACGTTCATGAGAATTGGAACATGAATTTTTAAACATAATTTAAAATTTTCCACCATAGCTTGCCTATTAAATTATATGACCTGTACACTTGTAATGAAACTTTTCCCTGCGAGACTCATCTCAGTGTTGAACGTCTCTAAATCTTGTTAAGATTTTTACTTCCTCTAAATGATCAAGTTTGGTCATCTTCCCGACTCTCATGACGACATGCTCCCTCGATCTAATTTTATAATCTCCCATAAAAAATGCACTTACTCGTTTCCTCTCCTTGGGCGCTCCTTCATCCTTCTTCATCGGCTTTTTCTTTTTTCTAATATAATCAAATCCGGATCGGAATTTTCTTCTACCCGTTCTGAGCTTCAACTTCTTTTTCCCCTGGATCTCAGCGCTCTCATTGCCCCCCTCATTGACCTCTTCGTCAGGCTCACCATCCTCCACCACTTCCTGCTTGACCTCTTTCTTGATATCGATCTTTTTCTCAGCCAGTGATTTCATGAGGTTCCGCCTCTCGACCGTTAACAGATGCCGTTTGGAGTTCATAATCGCTTTATGACTTCTGAGAATGCCTACGTTCCTCAATCTTGACACCACTTTTTGCTTCAACGTCTTCGTCCTACCCAATATACTTTCTTTAGTTTCAGTCTGTGAGTCATCATCCTGAGAGGTGTCACCCGCGTGATTCTGCATTGGCGGAGCTGATGCTGGCCTGTCCTCGCCAAAAACTTCTCTGATCGTCGCTTGCTTTTTCAGAACCCGCGTTTCAGTTCTCGTCCTTGTCTTCAGGACGAATGTGGAGAATTCGTTAGGCAGTGCATGGTTGTTCTTGAAAGTATCCCTAAAATTGTTGACAGTCTCTTTCCGGAAGTAGCCAAGAAGATAAGAGTCCGTGACGTTGATGGGTTTGACGGACTTATTGTTCTTCGCCGGGGACTTACCCGGCGTCTTCGGCGTCTCATTTCCCATGAGAGGAGTCAGACTAGGAGTCGGTAATAACTCGGGTTCATTGCTCCCTTTTGGTAGGATCTTGCTGCCTGGTTTCTGATCTTTACCCTTCTTCTTCAGATCCTTCTTGTTACCTCCGACCTTCAGCGCGAGTAGATCAATGATCGAATTGGACTCTAATCGTTTCATCCGCGTGGTCGTTTTGGAGGGGACGGACATAGTCGTTGATGATGTAGCTTCTTCATCATCAATCTTACTAAGTCCAGCACTGAAGCTGTAGTTTGACTCTACGTCACTGTCATTTGACCGTTTCTGCAGGCAGACATCACTGCTATCCATCGAGACTGACAATGCCGGAGAGCCAGGATCGAGATCAGGAAGGGATGTCGACAGGCGGTGAAAGCGAGAAGGTTTCGAGACATTAATGAGACGTGGTGGCATGCGCAGGGATTTTTTGTAGACGTAAACTTCCTCCTCCCAACCAGGCCGAAAATCACTCCCGTCTCCGAACAATGGCTTTGGCTTCGGCTTCTGAAGCGAGTTCGATTTGGCTGACTTTCCGACGTCCTTTGTCTTCTGAGCTCCCATCTCTCGAGACCTCAGCTTCATCCCCTCAGCCTCACCAACGCCCGATCGTTTGCGATTTCGTAATCGATGAGCGACGGACGTACCTCCGAACTCATCGCTCCCATCACTGTCTTCCGCGCTCGATGAAGAACTCTCGCTGGATGACGCGAGTTTGATTCTACTCCCCCGTCTCATCGATCGTTTCTTCGGTATGATGTCATCATCATCGCTGTCTTCAGTTTTCTTTTTCTTCGAGGCGCGTTTACTGAGGGGAAGCTCGTCCGAGTCATTATCGGAGTTGCCCTGCTCCTCAGGTACATCCGGTTCTTCCATTTGTTCTTTCTTAATCGATGCTTCAGGCTTCAAGGAACTTTCAGACTCACTTTTTATTAATTCAGTCTCGTTAACATTTTCATCAGGCTTTGTACTCACCGACTCATCCTCATTAATCTCCTTCTTAATATCCTCGGGTTTGATCTCAATTTCGCGGGAATGTCCCTCCTTACTATCATCCTCTGGTTCACCCACTTTCTTCCTCCTCCCCCTCTTCTTGCTATTCTCGCCACTTCTCAACTGCTCCATAAATTTATCACAGGTCGTCGTCCAGAAAGGATCGAGCTCGGTGATCTTGTCATTTTCCTTCAGCTCGATCTTCACGAGATCCGATGCTCCTATCCCCATGCACATCGCGTCATTAAGAGGCACCGGAGGCTGAACTTTGGATAATTGCTTGCGATCGCGCCGCATTTCTTCCAAAGTCTGTCTCTCAAGCACTGGCATTTCCGTCTCGGAATCACTTTCCCGAAAATCAAAAACAGAAGTCTCAGACGAACTGCGGAAGCCGCTGTTCCGGGCAGAAACTACAGATGCCGCTGGTGTAATGGCAGCAGGAGTTGGTACTGTTGCGGCAACAGGAAGATTATCCTCATCGGACCTCGAGAAGAGTCTTCTCCGCGGTGGCAAGCACGGTGTCTTCTCTCGTGTGAGCTTCGGCGGGCTCCCCACAGAGGAAGCGATGGACTGTGGCGTCGACGTAGATGCCGCGCGTTCGAGATCGTGAGAATCCTGAAATGGTCCTAACACAGGTTTGGACAGTTGACCCGTACCAACTTGCTTCAGTTCCGCTTTAGTTCGGATTTTGGCGGCTATCATGGCGGCTAAACTATCATCTTTATCGCGGATAATCTGATTCTCGTCCCGTGGACCGAGCAGCGCTTCCTTACCTGCCGGCAACGTCGCCGAAGCATTAACACGTGAACCATATAGACTCCTCGGTGTTTCCTGAGTTATCGAGTCCACCGCCCTTGGCACATGAAACTTGTAATGCGGCGGTGTATTACTATTTCTCTCCAGCAAACTTGCAGCTGTGAACGGCGACAAATTATGTCGACCGATATTCGTTTTGGGCTCGACTGGTGCAACAACTTTATTCTGGAAACTCTGTTGACTATGATTAACCAGGATTGGCTGCTGGCTATTCATCTGCTCTTCTCTCTGTTGTTTATTCTCAAGACTATTGCG